CAGAATACCTTATTGTACTGGACTTATCTATATTTGGACTAGGGTTGACCACAGGTAACTGAAACTGTGGAAAGTGAAACCACAGAACCAGAGGGCCTACTGTAGGGCAAACTGCCTGCAAGGTGTCTTAAGGAAGAAAAGAGCTTTCCTCTGTCAAGCAGCTGAAAGGAAGCTGATATAACTGGAGCAACGTGAGCACAAGAGAGACTGCTGGTAGCTGCGTAGGAGCTGGAGGCAGGAGTCCAAGTTTGAATTTCATTCTAGATGCAGTAGGAGGCAAAGCAGAGGCTTTGCATTGGCATTGCAGTCATCTCAGTGAAATACAGTGGCAGCTGGGACTCAGATGGTGACAGTGGTGATGGTGAGAAATAAAGAGATTTGAGATGCTGTTTCAGAAAGGAGGAAGACTAGACAGAGCAGGACCGAGGTGGCTTGTCAGAGGAGGAGCCAAAGAACTGGTGCCTGCTAGAAATGTTCAGTTTGAACACGTGACACATTTGTAGATTTATGTAACGTTGTTGGTTAAATATATGAATATGTATATTCAGAAGAGAAGTGAAAGTAGATCAGTTCTACTGATGAGTTTTTTTTGTTTTTGTTGTTGTTGTTGTTTGGTTGGTTGGTTTTGAAATGGAGTATTGCTCTGTCTTCTAGGCTGGTGGAGTGTAGTAGCACCATCTTGGCTCACTGCATCCTGTGCCTCCTGAGATCAAGCGATTCTCCTGCCTCAGCTGATTAGTTTTTTAAAAGAGTCCTGAAAACAGCAGTTTCAATTGATGTTAGATCATTAACATCATCATTTCGTATTCATTTATTTATTTATTATTATTTTTAATTTTTTAATGCATTTTAAGTTTGGGGGTACATGTGAAGAACATACAAGATACAGTAGGCCTTTTCTATATAGTTCTCAGCAAACATGCCTGACATGAGCCAGAATTTTAAAGGATGTAAAAGAATAATAAACAGAATTTCCCCATGTGTTACTGCTACATGGAAAATAAATCTACATATAAGACCATAAGTGCTTGTATCTTCAGGGAAAAATTAGTGTTTAAGTAAGATTCCAGTTTGGTAATGTTCAAGTACTGCTTTTTCCACAGGTTGACTTTGCAGGTAAGCTAGCTATGATTTTTTTTTTTTTTTTTTTTTTTTTTTTTTTTTTTTTTTTTTTTTTTTTTTTGAGACAGAGTCTCACTCTCTCATCAGGCTGGAGTGCAGTAGTGCAGTCACAGCTCACTGCAACAACTTCTGCCTCCCTGGTTCAAGCGATTCTCCTGCCTCAGCCTCCCAAATAGCTGGGATTACAGGTGTGTGACACCACACTCAGCTAATTTTTGCATTTTTAGTAGAGACAGGGTTTCATCATGTTGGCCAGGATGGTATGGATCTCCTGACCTTGTGATCCATCCACCTCAGCCTCCCAAAGGCTAGTTATGATTATTATTTCCCCTTCCACCTCCTTCTATAAGGGCTGTAGCAAAAAGAGAGAGAGAGAGAGAGAGAAAGAGATAAAACAAAGAGGGAGGGAAGAAAGGGAGAAAGGGAGAGAGCTAGAGAGGGAAGGAGGAAGGTAAGGGAAGGAGGAAGGAAGGAGATAAGAAGCTTGAGGCAACACACAAATCGCAGATTTAGAGCTCCCCAAGGGTTAATTATGTTTCTTTTCCTCCCCACCTAAAACAAAAACCAAACTTATATTGTTTAGAAGGCTGAAAACAAATGCATTTTCTTTATTATTCAAAGACCTTTAAATATTATACCTTTCTAGAAAGCAGAATATATGCTAAACATCTACCTATTCCAATATAATGTTTATGTTCTTGTGATCCCTTCATAGCTTTTATATTTTTTAAATAAGAAATCATCTTGACCACAACAGAGAAAAAAACTGAGACTTAATTTTAAAACTTTGGCTTCTAAAAGGATCATTACTTTTACTTTGCTCTTTTCTCTTTATATTTTGTTTTCTTTTAATAAATATTTATTATCCACCTATTAGGTATAAGGTCCTTTTCTGGAAATATGGAACCATACGTAAACAAAAGACCAAAGTTCTTGCCATCAGAGAGAGAGCTTATATACTTAGTGGAGAGAGAACTAATAATAAATTAGTAAAACATTACTAGTAAAAAATTAGTAAAACATGTATTGTATAAAACAACAATAAATGTAATGAAGGAAAATACAACAGGAAAGTGAGGTGAAGAGATCCAGCAGACCTGTGTGAGTGCAGTGAGGGACTTCAGTTTTAGATAGGATGGTCAGAGAATGTCTCACTTATAAGGAAAATTCTCACAGAGACCTAAATACCATTTTAAGTATCCTTTCTCTATCAAGTGTTCACAATCCCTGTTTCTGAAATGGCAGTCTATAGTAACGATGGCATGGGTTTACATTCACTGTGACAGAATGCTTTCTAAATTATTTTTACCATTGCTCTCTGCTAAACTAAGGATAAGTTGAATAGAGGCACCACCTGAATATCTATAATTTATATGACTCTCTGCCAAGGCTGTCAACAAAAGCTAGTGGAATTCATCTACAGTTTCACATGACCTTCTGAGTTTTTGCAAATTAACTATGCTTATCTTGAGGTAGAACTTTCATTTCCCCTCTTATTAGTGGCAAGTTGGGCTTGTATTCCTATCTGCAGACTGCAACATGTGTCTGTCCCATAGAGCCACTAGCCCGGCCCCGTATGTAGTGAGATTATAGCAATGGGAAGGGCCTTTGTGGGAAAAATCGGAATGTGGTCCAGGTTTTTTCACCGGATTTCCTCCCATTCTTCAGCTTGGAGAGCTTTCTGTTTCATTGTTCCATATATAGTCATGATCAGTTATTTCTTTATCAGTATCCATTTGGTGTTTATTCTAATTTCTACTAATTATTTTGGTATATACATTACAATAATTTAAGAATACTTTATTTGGAGATTTTTATGGTTTTAACACCCACTTAGAAGCCCTTGTTATATTTAGACAAAAATTCTGTTTTTTCTTTTAAGTTATTTGAATATCACTGACTTATATTTTCTGGGCAGAAAATTCTTGGTTTTCATGCCCCTGTGTATTTCTCTGTCTCAACCTTTATATGACATTGCATTTGAAAATCTGTTTCTTTTATTTACTGCATATGGATTGAAACATTATTAATCCACCCCACCTAGCACCATGAAAATTATCAAGAAAAGGTGAATAACACTTTTTTTAAATTGGTGGGAATAAGATACACGGCTAGAGCCATAGTATAGCTGATGTCCAAAGAGGAAACAATGAACAAGAGACAAAACTGTAAACAGAAATATGAACAGGAAAGTAGATTACTCGTTTCAATATAATTTTTACAATAATAACAGCCAAAAATTTTGGTACTAGTCTGTACCAGGTTCTCAGAAAGTTCTTTGTATGTACTGCAGTAGTTAATCATGCTATAAATTAGATATCAGTTTGTACTAACTCAGTGACTAGTATATTGACCAAGGTGACACAGTTGTTAGGGGACAGAACAAGAATTGCATATGAACTTAGAGCCATTAATTAAGCTCTTTCCTCCTATTTTTAAAAAAATAACAGAAGTTGGAAAAGAAGACAATGCATGATAACTAAAACAAAGTACAACTATTAAAGGCTCCTAAGACTATTTTAATATTTGGATTCATTTGCATGAAAGAAAGTTCATTGTTGTCATATTAACTGAAGTCCAAGAATCCTCGGTAGATTGTGTGTGTGTGTGTGTGTGTGTGTGTGTGTGTGTGTCTGCATATGAACATATGAGTATATGAGTAATTGATAAATCCTAGAAGGTCTGGTTTGGTATATACATTACAATAATTTAAGAATACTTCATTTGAAGATTGGCATGGTTTTAACACCCAGTTTACATATTATTAACAAAAGCATGTTAACCCAAAGCATGAGAAGACCCTACAATAAATCACTTATTAATATATAAGTTGTGTGAAAAGAGCAAGAAAGAAAGCAGAGAATTAAAACTGAAGTATTTTTGTGATCTATGCTTGTCTAAATAGTGGCTATATTTAACTTCCAAGTGAAATATTGCTTGTATGTACAGAAAATTTAAATAATGTGAAATTTTAATTATATTAAAATACTTTTAAAAATATTAGAACAGAGTAGTCTTTTGATTATTTTCAAATTTTCAATTAAAAAAACTATTTAGTGTCATCAGATGTATCTTTTTTGGGGTTTAGAAGGTATTTTTTTTTTGCCCTTATTAAGCATTATGGTAAAACATATTGTGCGTAGGCCATTTATTAATTCAACAATGTTATAAAAACCTGCTATTGGTCAAGCCATGTGTTCTTCACTAGAGATAAGAGTGACTAGACACTTTTTGTATAAAGTGACCTGTGCTATGACTGAGCGAAATACAGAGTATTCCCAGAGCAGATAGGAAAGGCAATTAACCCAGACTAGAATCCTCTGTGATGATTTTTTTTTTTTCAAAATAATTTTGCTTGGTTTTTGTGCATAAATATGTCATCCAAAAATACATTTAATGATGAAAGAGGGCTCTACTTTATAACTATTTGCAACAATAGGCATGGAATACAGACAGGTATGGACTCTATTTCATCCTTAGCATTGTGGGTGTGGTGATCTTGCATATATCTAAAAATGCTAGGAAGCATGCATGGCCCTAGCGCTGATCTCATATTCAAGAAGCTGACATAGCCACAAATCTGGCAGGGACTTATCTGTGCTCCCTCCATCTAGAAAGCCTTGGAGATAATGTAAAATGACAAGATTAAGTATGTTGACATTATATTTGTAATCACACTGTATGGCTTAGACATTAAAAAGTTTGCTACAAAAATTTTTGTTAACATTGTGGTCAAGTTGTGTAGCTCTTTCTTTGACTAATTTAATGTAAGACAATAATAAGTAACCAGCTTAATTTCAAAAGCGTACAGCCATAGCACCGTGAAATGCCAGGGAGGCCTACGTGCTTGCTGAGAGATGCCTTTGCTTGGTTTGCAGGACCAGTGGTTTTGGCGAGTGAGAAACAACAGGGTGATGGATGGATACCCAATGCAAATTACTTACTTCTGGAGGGGCTTGCCTCCTAGTATCGATGCAGTTTATGAAAATAGTGACGGGAATTTTGTGTTCTTTAAAGGTAAGGATGTTTTCTATATCTGGCTATGTTATATTTTAGTCATTCTGTATAGGGCCCTGTGGTGCACACAGAAGTCATTAGGTGAGATTAAATAACTAATTGATTTAATGAAATAAAGTATGTTGACTAGAAATATAATTGAAATAAAAATAATTTTCAATTTTTGTTTTATTTGTTCTGATATGGTAGTCTCATGTCAGATTTAAGAGATACTCTTTCTCTTAGAACTTTTAGATTTGACTTAAAAGTACCAAAAAATAAATTAATACATAAATAGCCGTTACTCCACTGACTAAAGGTTTGCTTTTTTGTTTGTTTGTTTGTTTGGAGTATTTGGAGTTGCTTGTGGGCTTTAAGCAATAAAATCTATTACACTCCAATTTTCACATGTAATCTCTGAAATTTTACTTGATTTAATCAGTTTATATAAACAGATTCTAGTAAACTGAGAAATAAAGGCAAGAAGAATTTAGAATTATCCACCTACCAGTATCATTAAATGTATTGTCTGTTATGTATCTGACTGCCAAATTTTAACCTCACAATTACTACCAACTGTCTGGCATGCAAGTGAGATTACCTAATGAAGTGAATTTGGTCAATTGCCTGTTATTTTATCCTCAAAACTTATTAATAGTCAAAACAACTGATCTTAAATCTGTAGAGGCAAATACAGAGACAAGAGGCAGACTGAGCTGGAGGACTGAGGGAATTGTGAAGGGAATGTATTTGAGCTGAAGCTGAGAAGAACTTGAGTGTAAAAGTACATGATTGAACATATTACCCAAGAGCCTAAAGGCCTGAAAATAAGCTTATACAGAACTAGAGCCTGAAGGAAGGCAAAGCGGGATCTTAATCCCTCAAAAAGCAATTATTCCCAGAATCAAACTAAAATAATTCATAGTAATGATGAGGGTAATGAAAACATGGAATTTGGGAAACACTTGTAATATTTAAAGTAAGGCTCAAACTACCTATATAAAATTAAAGTATACACCTGGACTTTATCTTTACTGATTGTTCTTCAATTAAAGAGGCAGTTCAGTACATTAGCTATAAGAACATGATAATTCTGTGGCCATGTTGCCAACTTTAAACACTAGCTCTATGAACTAAACAACCTACTCAATTCTCTTTACCTCAGTCTCCCCATCTGAAAAAAAAAGGCGTTTGTATTATTCCCCGTCTCAGAATTATTTTGAGTACTAAATTAATTACTACATGTGAAGAGCCCGGCATGTTTAAGCCCTCAGTAAATGCCAGCTATTGTTGCTGCTGGTAAGATTGCTGCTAATTTTCTTGCCTTCCTGCTGTCTATAATAAGCATATAAAAAAAGTGAGCTTGCACCACACCACTATGGACAAAGCAAGGATACCACCTAAAGGCTGAGAATCTTAGCGACATAGTATTGGAGGGGAATTCCCCTCACCTACACCCTTCCTGGATCCCATGAGTAGTAGCAACAAAAAGAAGGGCAGGTTAAGTCCCGACAAGCCTTCCACTTGGAGACTGTCCCAGGAGGCCCTGTCTCCTCACAGGACCAGTAGTGCCTTCTGACAAAACTGCCTGAGGAGAAACTGCCACAGTCATAAATTCCTGTTCTGACAGCTCTTTATTGCCTTGGGGCCTTCTCACTTTTATTCGCTTTGCTGTGCCTCACTCTCTTGCGGCATGGCTAGCTCCTTTTCATCTTTCAACAGCCAGCATAAAAGGCTTGTCCTCCAGTGCCCTCCCTGCCCACTCTATGTAAGTACCACCTTCTAACTTGCACAAAGCATTTGTAAAAAATTGGAATTACCCATACCATTCAAATGGAAATTGCATGAGAGATGGAACTTGTTTATATTTCCCTACATGTCATTTTATTTTCAGTTTCTGAAAGTGCTGGGTGCATAGTAGGTTCTCAGTAAACATTTCAGTAAAAGCAGTATCACTGAATACTGACTTGACTCAGTATGGTGTTTCCTTTGCTATGATGCTTACGACAGCAATCACTTTGTCTTTTGTCCCAGATTTATGTCACCTCCAGAATGTTGAGCTTGTCAGTGGTCTCTTCTGGTACATTGTCAGCCTCAGGAAATGCTTACTCTTACAAATTTTGTCACTTTGAGGACCGTGCTGTGGTGGCTTTTTCCTCCAGTTGACTCTCACCACCACCATCAAATAAACCCTCTCAAAGCCCAGTGATGACCTGTAGCTCTCCATTCAATAAAGCACTGATTATTCAGACACAGTCAAGTTCTAGGTGTTCCCAGTGAGACCACACTCTTCCCTAGTCTCTACCTCACGACTGACAGGAGAGGAGTGACAGTCCCAGCACCCTGGGCTTCTGATGTGAAATGACCCCCTCCACTACCCTCACCACAACAATCACAATCAAAATATTTCTCCTTGACATGCTCTTTATGGCCCTTATCACCCTCAAAAGACCAGAAACCTACATCATTCCTCATCCTACGTTGTCACTCCAGTTTGCTCTATGGGCCATAAGGCAGTTGCTGCCCCTTTGCTAGCAGTCGATCCCCTTCCCTGCTTATGCTTTACTCATGACAAACCATCTGAAAAACTATGTATTTTAGTTGTTTATCTTTCTCACTAGAATATCAATCCCATAAAGGATAAGTATTCTTTTTTTTTTTATACACTGTTTTTTCCCCAATATCTTAAACTGAGCTTTGACAGACTTTTTCTATAATGATAAAATAGCAAATATTTTAGGCTTTGCCACCCATATGATGTCCATTATATACCTTTCTTTATTTTGTGTTGTGTTCTAACTTTTAAAAATGTAAAAACTATTTTTATATCATGGGTTGTGCAGAAGCAGGCCATTGTCATAGTTTGTTGTCTTAAACAATACCTGGAATATTGTAAACACTTGACAAAGATTGATTGAATGAGCCAAGAATAAGATTCAAGGCCCATCCTGTATTTATAGCCCTGTACAAGTTGGTTTCAACCTCTGCAAGCCATATTAGACCATATTAGACTATTGTTACTAGTGATTTAGAAGTTATTCTTCTTTAATTTACTCTTTTATTTAGCCTCTATGCCTTACATTATTTATCTTGGTTTTCCCCTTCTCTCTCTTTACAGAGATCATCTTTTATGTATTTTTTTCTTCTAATCTGTACTAGAAAATTATGACATATTTGAGTATCTTTGTCTTTTATTCCCCTATATAACTAAAGTCTATGTTTGGATATAAATATATTTAACTATGTATTTCCTAAAGGTACTGAGTATTAACCTTGTTTTCATTTTGCATAAGAATTTGAAGGTGTAGATTCAACTATGTGTATAAATGTTCAGTTATTAAATATAACTATTGTGTTAGTAATATAAATATAAGCATAAAATCTTTCATTCATTTGAACCTTTATAAATTATAAGAAAAATAAGAAACCAGTAGATACAATTAAAAATTTATATTTTGGTGTAATTTAGATATTTTTTGAACTTTAGCCAAATTATATGTGTACATGTACATCATATGAATGGGAGTTGTCAGTACATAAATTATAAAAACATAAAAATTTCCTTTATATATGTGTCCAATTCTATATTCTGAACATAATCTTAGCTTTTTGATATGTTAAAATATGGTATATCAGAATATAATGTAATATATTATGTAATAGTATAATAAAGTGATGGATTCTGCTTCTACCCAAGATGTAATAAGAGGAATCAGATTTATCTTTCCTCCTGAAACAAATAAAAAATGGGCAAAGTATTTAAAAGCATGATTTTTGGAAACACTGGGCATCAAGAAACAGAGGACAGTGAATTCTGAGAGTCAGGAAATAAAGGGAGATGAGCCCTGAAATTGCCACAGCTTCCCATCTGAATAATTTACAGGTTGTGGCACAAGGTAGGGGAACCCAGGCAGAGCTCAGAGACTTTCTGAGTTGAGGAGACAGAGCTGAGAATTCAGGAAGAACAAGGTGACTTCAGTGAAAAGGAGACAGTAACACAGAGGAGAGAACTACACAAGAGCGAGGGCCCGGAGATTAGCAGATGGACCCCATATGTGTTGGAGAGAGTAGTGGTCAGCTCATGTCTGTAAGGAAACTGCTTAAATCTAGAAAATGAATCAATCAGTGTGAAAAAAAGGAGCAGTGCCTGACATTCAAAGAGGGCCAACAGTACCTGCTTCCCCCAACCACCTGTTCACAGGCATTGGATAGAATATTGAAAAGGGCCTTACCTCAGTAGTGGGGAATAATTATCCTAGAAATATCCCTGTTTGAATTCCACTTAGCAAATCTTCAAAATAAGACCTGACGCAATCAAATGGTTTCCAAATAACAGTCTAGAACAAAGCTCAAGAATATTTATAGGGATTCAGAGATATTGACCTAACAAGGCAAAATTCACAGTATCTTGCATATCCCCTGAGATCAGGAAGAAGACAAAGATGTTTATTTCAAGTCTGTTCAACATTGTAACAAGTTTTATCTAGTGAAATAAATAAAAATAATCCAGATTGGAAGGAAAGAAAGCTGTATTCAGACAACATGACTGATATAAAACAGTAGTAAAACTGTGTCCATGGACATAATTGTCTATGTAGAAAGAGATAGTTTTGCCTTCAACCAAAAAGCTTTCAGAAATGATAAGTGAATTTCTCAAAGTTACAAGATACAAGACTCATAAAGATGTAATTGTATTTTCTGCATATTTTTAAGAACTGTAAAGGGTCTGAGACTTTTATCTTCCTTGCAAGCTAATAAAAGCCTGTTAGCTTGCCTCAGGTTCGTGGATGTTGACAGAAAACATGAGATTCCTGAGTCAGAGCAAAGGACAGAAACCAAAAGCAGGAGCCATAGTGTAGTCATCTGTACTTGTTCCCAAAACCCCAGTCTTAAAAGTGTGATACGAGGCCGGGCACAGTGGCTTATGCCTGTAATCCCAGCACTTTGGGAGGCCGAAGTGGGCAGATCACAAGATCAGGAGATCAAGTCCAGCCTGTCTCACATAGTGAAACCCCAGCTGC